GATAGTGTTGCTGCAGAATGGGAAGTGGTTCCAATTTTTGTCATGAGAAGGTATGCTGAAACATGTAATGTTGCCATGTCAAATCTCATACCAGTTACAGGAGTTCTCAGTTGAGTATTTTACATTTTCTGTTTTAAATTTAGATTCCTATTCTCTGCAGAGGTGTTAAATACAGAATGAAAACTGTTGGTCTGGTATGACTGATGGGCTCTTGAGTAGTGATGCCTGGCATTAATGGCAAAAAGGCATGAATCTGCTGTTGCCAGTATGGGGCTGCTGAGTCTTACAGGATGGAGCAGCTATATGTAAAGATGCTTTTCAGCCACTCTTAAGGTAGCTGGGAAAATAATACTATTAATACATGTTGGAAAACCAGTGAGGTTTTAATAGAAGTAAATGTGCTTCTCCAGCCTGTGGGCTGCTGGTCCCATTTGGGAAGGCATCTACGTTAATCTGACATCTTGTTTAGCACTGATAACGCTAGAGAGTCCAATTAAAATATTTCAAGAAGACATCCCCACACAAGACTACAGAAGACTACAATGATTGTCCGCTAATGTGTATTGAATTTTAGCTAAATACAGCCCCGGGTGCTGTGCTGGAAAGCAGGAAAGCTTGCTTTTCAAGCTCTTAATTCCTTTTATATTGATTTGGCTGCTAATGATATAACCTTCTACTCTAATTAACTGACATCTGCATTAGGCTGAATAAGAGCCCCCTGCTTGAAGCTGTCCACTTGTTTGTGTTATGAAATGTGTCCTTCTGTTACATTTTGCTCAGATTAGGTCAGTCTGTGCAAAATAGACCATCTAAACGATTGACTTTCCTTTTAAATACCTTGTAAAGCAAGTTTATCTGTCTGCTGTCTCCATTTCTGCCTGTTTTTCCAGGGTGTGTGTTGCTGGGAAGCCTGTCCAGAGCTGGTTCACTGACTGGGTGCTTTTCTAAACCTACCTTCCCCATGGACTATTAGCTCCTTTGACTGATTTGAGGCTGCCAAGAAAGGTGTAAAGTGAGATAAAGATGGGCTATGAAGACCTGAGGATAATGGGTCATTTTATATGGTTTAGGTTATGAAACAACTGAGATGTAAGGGACTTAAATCAAGCTAAAAACATTGCTAGGTTGGAATAGACCATCTGCTTATGAAAGCATGTTGCCAAAATTACAAACCACCAGTTCTCAGTTTGGGAAATTTTGATATCAACATATGAAAAAAATAAAATAAAATACATGTTTTTTAGCTCAATAAGTTAAAGTCACTAGTTTGCAGAAGTCCAGCATGAGCAGCTGATTGGGTTCATTATGTGTGCTGTCTCCACACATATGTTTGCCCATTTTTCTTTAGGAGAAGGTTGGGAGTCTCAGGCAAAATTATGTGAAGTCAGGATTCTTTCACATTTTTACCTCTGTAGAAGCTTCAAACCCAGTCAGAGGTGCTGCAGGAAGCTGCTTTCTCTTGCTGTGGGGACTGGAGCATCTCTCTTGCGACATCTGAGGAAGAAAAATTAAAACAGGGCATTAGACTCAGTCTTGGTAATACCTTAACAGGCAACTGGAATCTGAATTGAAAAGTTCATGCTTGAAAATCTGAATTAAATACAGACTCAGGTAGCTACCTGAGCAATACTCTTCTATCTTGAGTAATAGCAGGACTCCTGGTGACATCTGCTAACTGAGATCAGTCAAAAACAAATGAAAAATAGACCAGCAAATCAATCAACTCATCATCTTGTCCATTTCATTACCATTTTATTGTGTCTGATTTACCAGGTGGAAGATGTAACTCAGTGATGCTTGAGAAGACAGGCCAACCTTCAGCTCTTAGTGTTAGCATTTCAAGCTTATAGAGGGACTATTATGTCCTACACAGTATGACTAAAACAGCTCAGATATTACTCTAAATATTTTAGTAAATTGCTTCATGACAAGTCATAGTCTTTCTCTCAGGGCCTTTCTGTATTCAAAATGTATATAAAACTGACATTTTCACTGTGATTTGTAGTTCTGTATTAGTTCCATTTACACTGTGATTTGTATTTGCATATTGAAAAAGAAGTGTTCAGTGCATGACAGAGCTTCTGTTGTGATACCTCTGCAGCTCCCAGTTGGGAGTAGCATTGCAATTGGTTGTGCAGTGTATTGGTGGAACTGAATTCCTTGTGCATTAAAATTTTTGCACAATAATGGATTAAAACTGAGAAAAAAAGATGGGAAATCTCTTAGCTGGTTTCTGGTAGAATTATCATAACATATCATATCACATTTCTGATTTGGAATGATGGGTGTGGAATCCAGAGAGTTTGTGGCTGGAAGAATTAGCTGCAAATCTCACATTTCTACAGAAAGACTGAGCAATTCCTGTTTTGTAGCCCTGAAAACATAATGGAGCCCTGGGGATCATTGACAAAACAAGCTTCTTAGAGCCACTAGCACTTAGCAAAATTGACTTCAGTTAATCAAAAGATTCTTTAGGGAGAGGGGAAAAAAAAGGAAGAAGCTGGTGGTTTGGAAAACTGGAGAACAAGTAACTGTATGCAGATGTTTAAAGAAATTCCATTTTCTTGTGGTGAAACTCAGTGACCTATAATATCAGTATCTAATGGGCAAACTTATATTGAAGAAAGTCATTTACATACTAGACTGGTGGGGGAAAAGAAGGTGGAAGGGAGGAGAGTACAGTGGCACCTTTCTCAGCCTGTATGGACATGAGGCATTGACCACAACTCTCTGGTTACATCCATCCAGCCAATTCCTTATCCACCAATTTGTCCACCCTGCAAACCTCTGTCTCTTCAATTTGGAGATAAGGATGTCATGTGATTTACTAATCAATTTTGATTCAGCCATATTATCAGTAGAACATTTCTCAGTCTTTTTACAGTTATCTCTGTATATAAATAATCTTCTCTTGTGTTCTCAGGCTCACTAGCAATTCTTCTTGAAAAGTGCTTCTAGAGGTCCAGTACATAGCTCTTCAAGCATCTCGTGGTGTGAACTCTGTGATTCTGGCCGTAGAGTAAAGCAAAGGCAAAGATGATTTGCTCTACATCAGGATAAGTGATTGGAGTGTTGCTTAATAAATTTTGTCATCTGATGGGGGGAGGAACAGCTGAATCACATGCCTTACAGGAAAACAGGTGGGACCAATGGGAAGAAAGATGAGCCAAAAATCACACAATTATTTTGTGCTAGCTTAATGTCTGCTTGTTCTGCCCAAAGGTAAAGACATAGTTATCAGAGCCATTTATCAGGTACACCATTTTAGTATAAACTTGTTTAAAAAAGGGTAGAGCCCCTTTGTCATCTTAATTAGACAGTAACCCATTGATTCCAAGCGGGCCTTCATTTTCTAATTATTTAGTATGTAATGTCATTAAACATCTTCTAGTGGACAGGATTGCTCTAAAAGCTTTAGTTCCAGAGCTCTAATATTAGGCTTTTGGCATTCATCCCTGTGTGTGAAAAGCAGTCCGTTTGTTTACCAGGAATTTAGATTCCCATTACTGGCGGAATTAGCAGTGAGCTATTAGTCTGATTCAAGCACTTAACAATTGCTGATCATCTCCTCCTAGCTTGGGGATAATGGAGGTGATCAGCTGTAAATGGAAAGTATGTGTGGCTATTTTCATGGAGGCACTTGGAGAAAGTGCAGCATCCCCTGACCTCTGCTAACCCTGGGGTTTGCAAGAAACCCAAACACCAAGTCACTTCCTGGAGGAGAGCTAATCACCTATCAGAAGAGCTTCCATTAGAGACTAACCAAGCTCAGGCTCAACAGACCCTGCCTCAAATGAAAAAAGGTTCAGCCACAAAGTCCCTGGGGTAGAAATGATTAGCCTCTGATTGTATTTACCAGGATCTGTTTCAGTGGGGGAAGCAGCTGTGGAATAGCTGCGAGTTGTGATTCCATAGCAGTGCTGAACTATCCTGTAGAGCTCCTCTTTTTCCACTGTTGTCCCCAAAAGTTTTGCCTGGTTCATGGGCACCTCAAAGATTACTTTGACAATTCTCCTTTTTATTCTGTGTAGTTTATTGTGTAAAGCTGCCTACCATTTTGGCAAATCAATGACATGATTTTTAGGATGTATTGAAAAAGATACTTTCATTCTTTATAGATGCTGAACCCATAGCCCTTTCCTATCAATTGAAGTTACCTTTTATTGTCAGCTGATTTTGAGAGAGGTGTGCCAGATATCTGCAGCCAGGAATCACTGTTTGAAACCAACAGTGCTTTAGCTTTTCATCATCTGCAATAACATATTGTTCCCCCTTCTAAAAGGAAAACTGCAGCCACTTGATTTTTACTAAAACATAGACATTTCTTGGAGGCAGTGGGAATTATTTGAATGAGGCAAGGACACTATTTTGGGACATGCAAAATCAAGGTTTATCTCTGGCATCATCTGGCTTATGACCTCGGGCAAAAAATGTGAATTGGTTCTCCCACTTGTCACAAGAAACCACTTATCTAACAGTTGGCTGAGCTCACTGCTGGAGGACTATATGAATGCCCTTTGTAAATGCTACATTAGATGATGCTGAGAGACCTAGGCCTCTATCAGAGTTCTAGAAGCCACATCTGGAGTACCTGACAGTGAGTGATATCTGTAAACGTTAAGATTGCTTTGTAAGAGATTCTAACTCTATTCTTTACATTTCTCTTCCATATTGCCTCCAGCAGTGGAGACAAGGAGTGTAGCTTCTATGAAATGCAAAGGAAGGCAGAAGACTTCTAGAGTTGCATGATAAATTTTATTAGTCAGACCTCACATTATTTTACTCTTTAAAAAATAATCTACATTACAGTAACTAGAAGGTTCCCTCCTCCTATAAGCTTGCTGAATGCTCATTTTTAAGACTGTCTGGATAGAGAATTTTTATTGGATTAATTTTGTGTTTTGTGGATTATCATTTGTGAGACCATAGGTGCTCACAGGATGTTGTTTTCCACTTTTTGGGAACAGAAGCTGGGGGCGGGGGGGGTGTCTTAATTGCCCTGTAGTATGGTTAGTAAGCTGTTCTGAATGGGTTTAGGAAATGTGCCAGTCTTGGAACATTGATGGTGCTGGCAGAATGGAATTGACAGTGATACTGGCATGACATTTCTAGTAGCAGTTAAGTTGTGCATGCATATATGCTGTGTAGTTGAAAAACTGTGATATATGGAGATCAGGTGTTAGAATAGTCTAAGTGAAAATGGGTTTGTACTCACAACAGTGTGAGTACCTGTGAATGAAGGTGTAGTTAGAAGTGAATTTTGCTTGCAGTTATTGATGAACAAGCTAAGAGGCAGCTGTGTGTATAAAGGTGCATTAAAAAAGGAACAGGACACTTGAAAAAAAAAACAACAAACTGACATGTTTTGTTTCAATTTCAGTCTGGAGTATGATTTGTCCAAGTGTCAAGCATTTTCCTGTAAAATCCAGGATATGACAGAAGACTGCAATTGCAATCAATAACCTTCTTAGTAGGAATTTAGTGCCCTAGACATGAACAAGAAAATGCTAATCCCTTTTTCCATATCAATCTGTTTTACAGCACTAAATTTGGGAAAGAGGAAAGATCACTGCAGAGATGAGTGGGAGATCAATGCAGTATATTGTGTACCAGTACTGCATTGTGTGTGGTTCAGATCACTCAGAAATCTACTCCATTATTCTCACAAATATTCTCTCTCTCTGTTGTGTGGAATAGTGAAAATAATAACATTTTCTTCTTCCCTGTCACTCTCCATTAACTTCCAGAGATGGCAGATGCTATTACATTACAGTCAAGAATCTTGATACATTTCTAAGTCCCACCATATGGAGGATGGTCTAATGTACATACTATATTAAGGGTACACAGACTCTATTTTTATTAACTAATGGTGGCAAATATGTGGAAATAGTGCTGTCTCTTGCTCCAAATAGCTACATTTCAGTAGGTAATGAGAAATATCAGCATTAGTACACCTGTTCATTAAGAAAACATATTTATTCCTACTGCATGTAAATAATACATTGCTTTTCTGTGTGACAGAGGAGATGATGCTGCTGCATGCATGATTTCTTTGCTCTACCTGCCTAGGAAATACACAGAAGTCTGGAATTAGAGATGTAAATATTACCACTGCAGGAGGATAATTACTTTGATACACGACTATGTAAGACTCTTTAATAAGGTGTCTGACAGTGACTGTGCTTCCCTGGCAACAGATAAAACACAGGATAAAAAAATACTCAGCTACTCTGCCTCTGTTCAGGATTATAATCTTGTTTGGATGTGTATAGTATTGTTCAGATCTGTTGGCTCTCAGTATGAGCAATGGGCTCTACATGTGTGCATGGAGAAGCTGCTTGAGCTGGGTTTCTGGCTATTTGAAAATGTTGGCTGGCTGGTGAGGCAACTCTTGCACACAATTGATTGTAGACTGTTAACCTATGCTCAGAAATCAATATTCGCTTAACACCACATTTTAACAGACAAACGCAGTACAAACTAACAGCGGTTACGCAGCGCACACGTTTACATTCAGAATAAACAGGTTATGAAACAGTGCTTGGCAGGGGCAGGTGGCTGGAAGGTGACAATGGTAACTTCAATATGCAGACAGATACAAGGAGATTCTAGCAACTGTATGTCCCAGGGTTTGTAGTCAATGTACCTTGTACCTTTCAATGACCCAAATGTATTCTCTAAGGGTTACAGAGAAGGTTTGTCCTGAGGCCAGGCAAGATCATTTTTTGCTACAAAAAGCTAAATTTACTGGAGTTGACCACCATTCATCTTGAACAAAAAAATCCAAGTGTGTTGCTAGCCACAATAATGGATTACGTGTATGTGGAAGGAACAACAGAATGGAGCATAAACCCTAGTATAGTGTTCTTGACCTGGACTGGTATGTTTCATATGCTTAAAATAATGGATTTGAAAAGGCAACTGAAAGTAGTCCAGAGATGGAGTTTACCGGGGACTTCACATGTATGTTTATTGAGCTTTACTTGCAACCTACTCAGTATCAGTACAGAGTGGGGGAGTGAAATGGATTGAGAGGAGCCCTGCAGCAAAGGACTTGGATACATGGCTAGATGGAAAACTAGACGTGACTTAGTAAAATGCACTTGCAGCCCAGAAAGCCGTCCTGCAGCCTGGGCTACATAAAAACAAGCACAGCCAGCAGGCTGAGAGGTGATTCTTCCCCTCTACCCCAGCCCACCTTCCCACCCAGAGTTCAGCGTTCCAGCTCTGAGGTGCCCAGTACATGACAGACATGGACCTGTTCAAGCAGGTTCAGACAAGGCCATGAAAATTATGAGAGGGCTAACTCCTCTCCTATGAAGAAAGGCTGAGACAGTTGATGTGGTTTGGTCTGGAGAAGAGAATGCTCTGTGGAGACCTTGTTGTGCCTTTTCGATACATCACGGGGGATGAGAAGCACTGAGAGAGACTTTTTACCAGGGTCTCTAGGGACAGGATATGGAACGATGTTTTTAAACTGAAAGAGGGTGTGTTTAGATTGACTATTAGGAAAAAATTATTCCCTGTGAGGGTGGTGATGCACTGGCACAGATTGTCCAGGGAAGCTGTGCTTGCCCCATCCCTTCAAGTGTTCAAGGCCAGGTTGAACAGAGTTTGCAGCAACGTGGTCTAGAGGAAGGTGGTCCCTGCCCATGGCATGGGGGTTGGAGGTGAATGATTTTAAGGTCCCTTCAAACCCAAACCATTCAATGATTGTATGCCTGAGGTGGAGCTTCAGAGGGTGGGGTGGTCAGAGACACTGTCAGATCATCCCTACAGTCAGAAACCAAACTCTGCACAAATTCTGAAAGAAATCAGACCTTTGATTTAACCTATTAAGCTGGAACATTAGCCTGTTACTCAGAATGTGTACACAGCAGAAGCAATGGTGAGAACTCTACCTGCAGAGCTAAGTGCAAACTGACAGGGGGAAAGTGGGGTGCAAGTATGTGGGAGGTTTCCAGTGATTGCCACTCTGGGTTAAGGCCATTCCTCTTGTCTGAAAGCCTTCTGTTTCCCAAAGGTAAATCTGTATTGGGACATGCCTGGATATGGAATAATATTAATAATATGGGAAGGAAAGATTCCATTTATGCCACATTAATGTGGGCTAAGCAACAGGGGCAGGAACAGAGACAGAGAAGGCCAGGAAGTAGCAGCTCCAGAAAATACAGAGGAGGCCATAGGCATAGCGCTCTGTTTGGAGCTGTCTCGCTGTGTCTTCCCTTCAGCCACCTAGGAAATAAAAAGGAGGGATGAATCCCAGTTAGACACATTTATGCTCAAAATTCTGGCTGTAGAACCTTTGGTTCCGAGCACTAATGTGAGACTATTGAAACTCCTGTGGCCAGACATACAGCCTCCTCTTTTTGCTTGTCTGTGGAAGGACTAACTTAAGGTAGAGTAGTCCAGTGTTCTGCATGCACGTGGCATCCCTTGGTTTGATATCCAAAGTCACATATTTCCACATCCAAGGTTTTTCACCTACTGTCTCTAGGCTACTTGACTTGCTGCTTTGTGAAGACAACAAAGCATTGCGTACCTGGGACATTGCTGAAGAGAGAGATGTGCTGGCACTGTCTCCTTGGAAGCTTAGGGAAGATGAATAAAGTAAGTCTTCCTGTCTTTCTAGAGCTGTCTGCTTCAGATGCATTTGAGACCAAATGGTATTTTCTGCAAACAGAAGTAAATTAAGAGTCTAACTGTACTTTTCTTGTGCACACCTTGGAGTCTAGTGAGCAGAAGTCTAGAGAAGCTATTTCAGGAAAGGCACTCACAGGCCGTGTGGCCTCGATTTAGAAAATACGTATGCTCTGTTTTATGAATGGTCTGTCAGTTTGTGGGTTTACTTGTGAGCTTGAGCAGACTGAAAAAACAGTTTGACCTGTACTTGAAGACTTTTGGGCCCCTCTGTGACTTTCCCAACTCTGTAATTTGTAAGGAGCAGGTTTGTAGTATCTCGGATGAGATGATTAAATTGTAGATGTGTCTATAGCGCTGGGTGTAAGGCTTTTATATACTGCAGGAGGCAGATTTAAATATTAATCATTTATGTAATGATGCTGTTTTCTTTTATATCCTTTTAAAGCTTTCACAAACATAAAATATTTAAATCTCATTAGGGTATGTTGCTAAAATGCTAGGGAAATAAAAGAAATACAGACTTGGGATTACACAGTTGCATGTAACAGGACTTCTGCAACTGCTATGCTGAATCTAGTAACAGGCTGCATCAGGAGCTACTTATCTTGACTGAGTAAATGAGGGCCAGGGGTGAGTACAGAAACAGAGGACGAGGAGGGGAATCCTGACCCCATAATCCTGGTGCACAGATGTGGTTACTTCGCAACCTATGGATACAGCATGTCTCACCTCCCCTTGGTGATGTTTTTGCAGTGCCTTTCATTTGAATGGTGGTTGGAAATAGCTTTAAGGGTGTTCAGGATGAACAGAAATGTTGCCAAAAGATACAGAAACAGTTCTTAGAGCAGATCCAGGCTGGTCGCATAGGTTGCAAAGGAGATCATGGAGACATTGCAGAAGATAGAACTATACACAAGAGCAGTGCAACACAGAGTCCTGAAACCACAGGATTTAAATTGCTCTCTGCTGAGCTGTTTCTCTGTGATGTGACTGATGCTTACCAAGACATTTGTTGCTCTCAAACATGCCGAGTATCTGGTCACATTTCTCCTTCTGGTTGCCGCTGTTCTCACATGTACACCACAGGGAAACTTCCACACTGGAGTTACTGACATAGTTGGGTGTCATGGGTGTGCCTGTCCCAAACCCCCAGATGAAAGAAGCATTATTAATCACGTTGTACTGAAGGAAATGCTGCCCTGGAGGCAGAAGCCTTCCACTGTCATAAGTGTGTTACCCAGGCGAGGTCAGGAATGGCCCAGGCTTGATGAACCTACCTGAAGTCTGCTGAGCTGTGAGAAAGTCTTGAGATTGCTACCCCTGACACAGGCACTCTGAGATGTATTGAGAACTGAAGCTGGTGCTAGCATTAAATTGTGATGTGTACACAGCAGAAGCAATGGTGAAAACTGTACCTGCAGAGCTCAGTGAAAACTGATGAGAGTAAAGCAAATTAATGATGCAAGCATTAAATTGTGAAGGATTTTTGGTTTAGGATGTGAAGGACTTGCATGGACTGAGCTGACATACGGCAGCAAAAGGTACTCTTGCTTCTTGTGTAACTGGCAACACTGTGTAGCCAGGTGTCTTTTGACAAATACTGCACTCCTGTAGTGTGCCACTCAGGCAGTGTTATTTAGCTCAAAAGTAGTAGAGCCATCTGGAAAAATTGAAGGCCTAGTCTAGATTTACAGCTTCTGAGGTACTGCTGCTCTTTATATCCTCTTTTGAGCTACTCTGAAAACGTTTTAGTAGGTTGGTAGATAGTAAATAACTAAAACCAAACATGACCTTCCTTCTAACAGCTGGTAGTCCCATGTTCTGGATGGCTCTGAGAACATAGTGCACACAATACTAACAAGCCAACAGGAGTCTAAAAATCAGGCAGTGATGGAATGTTCTGTTTAATCACTGCTGTGATGGGATGTAACTCCAGCATTAGGAATGACAACGACTTAGTTCACAGAAGCCCACAGAGCGCTGTTGCTGAGGCACTTGGAGTGCTTTGCACCAGCTGATAATGCAAAGAGGCTGAAATCTTAGGCAAGGAGGGGGAAAAGTACAGCAAAAAATGCCATGGAAGAGCTCTCTTTGGATTGCATTTATCTCCGAGGCAAGGGAGAGCACTAGCATCCATTAGTAAGGCATATTCACCAGTATCCTGAGTGCTACCTCCCGCAGGAGACCAGAATGGTCCTTCACAGCACCAGAGAGTGCCTGAAAGTTTGTGGCCTGAAAGCATCTACCCTGTATGTTCCTGTGGATATGACTTACCAATCATCCCCATGTAAGCCTGCAGGCATGCAGCATGGTTGTGCAGAGAGCAGCCATCTGGAGACATGTCTACAGGTTGACAATTTTGTTGGAAGTCAGCCAGTCGGGATCTGTAGGAAGGAAAATGAGGCCATCAGTGTCAATGTTGTTCTCTTGGATAACATCTCCTGCTGTCTGACCTACTTGCAGATATGGTCTTCTAAGCAGGAGTCCAGAAGCCAGAGGCAATTTGGTTTGGTGTTATACTGGAAGGAACAATCAGGAACAATAGTTTTGCGGCGTCTTTCTCCACAAAATTCATCTTGACATGGACAGAACAGGATCCTTTTGGTGAAATCCTCAGGAACTTTTTCAAAGAAATTCCTTAGCCCTCTGTGGCACTTGCGCCGGTCACACACATCCTCACTTCCTGCTCCCTTGGTGCAGATGGAGGCATAGTCTGTGCGCAGACGAAAACACTTCTTGCTCAGGTTACAGATGTGTGTTGCTCTCAGACATGGATTTGTTGCGTCTCCCGCTAACTGTGAGCCTATAAAACCGAAAGAAACACAAAAACCATGAAGTAAGTCTCCAGAAGAGATTCTGTATGGAAGCAGGAGTACTCCTTTCTTGATGATCAGATCCAAAAAATCGAAAACAACAGAGCAAACAGAGCCTGCAGTATGACACTGTAATTATACTAGTTACAAAAGAGTATTTTTTTATTGGTTCATAGTAGGGTGCTTGTTTCAGAAAAATGGATCATTGTGGGTTATTACTGTTTTCATGGGCCTGGATCTGTGGCTTTATTTACACTTGGTAGGAGTGACAAATTTAGGCAAGTAGCTAGAGCAGGCATTCCTCCGATTAAAGGGGCCATCACCCCAAATTGTTCTTAATAATCTTCAACCCATGAAAAGATAAGAGAGGGCAGCATTATATCATGTAACCATTACAATTCTTACCTGACACCAGAGCTGCCAGTTTATTATAATCTGTCTTCCAGTGTTCTTCATTTGCTGGATTCTCATAGGGAGAGGTCTCCAAATTGAGATAACCTAGGCAAGATACAAGCTATTTAATGCAGTGGGAGATGGGAGAAATGCTTTATGACCAGTTTTAGTTATTTCTTTGTTTGTTTATTTATTCTTAAATGGATATTTTTCTTATTTATGCCTGGTTCTTTCCTCCAGCTGGAATTCAGAAATGCTCTGTCTCACTCAAAGCCAAATGCCAAGAATGGAACTGCAAAGCTATTACTGTATTAAACCCTCATTACATTTTGTCCAGATGGAGTTTGGTCTATCTAGTCATTTGGATTTTTCAGTTTCAGTAAGTGTGAGGAGTTGAGCAGCACAGGCAGGCTCTAGTGGGAGGTCAAGTAGAAGCATCCAACAAAAGAAGGCAGCAGAACACTTAGGGATGCTATGGCAATATGTGTCATAATCACGTGTGTTTTTAGTGATGGACAGACAGGACTATTTTGAGGTATTTTTCGCAGCACTAAATTTAACTATCTCAGAGTAGCTATCTTTGTTTCTTAGGTTTGCTGGCGTATTTGAAGGGCTGGTCCCATACCAGATCAGTTTTCTCTGCTTATCAAACAGAGTAGTAATGAATTCTCTTTACTAGGAGATATGGTTCTGGAGCAATTAGCTACAGTGCTGAGAAGTGGACTTTCACGGTTGTTTTCACCTAGGGGGTGGGGGTAAGCCTTACTAGTACCTTGTAAATTTATATTACTTCATCTCACCATCCGTCATGCTGGAGTGAACAGTCCAGAAAATGCGTAAGCAGTGCTCCTGTCTCTTCATGCGCCGGTGACACTTGCAGCGCAGCAAAGAGCTGTTCCCAAGGTCAAGCTCTGCATTCAGACATCTGACCCTGCTATTGTGATCCAGTGAAAGGAGGTGAGTCTTGGCCAGGGCACAGTTTTCCAGGGTCCTGTATGTGGCATTGCAGGTGGAGTCAGAGAGGCATAGCTGCTCTGCCATGACACAGTCACTGCTGGGCAGAGCCATGAGGTCTCCTGATCAAGCACAGAAAAGACTGTTAGGACCCCAGTCAAAATGAATGCCACACAAACATCTTGTCCTTGTTCTGCAGGGATTCTGTCTTCAAAAAGGACTCCTTGAAAGAAACAGAACTTGTTAGGATCGTTCATGAAGAGTAGTTAAGGGACAAGAGCTGTCTTCATTTAGGAAAAAAAAGATGAATATAAATGAAAGAGGGAACAAAAGCTTAAATAAAAGCCTCCATAATAATTTTGTTCAACTTGGCCAGGATCAGGGATTGCTCTGTATTTTGGGGACTAGTAAATCCTTATGAAACCTTGGGGTTGCTGAGGCCTGTTTTGAAGAAGCTCTTCTATCTGGGCACTGAAAACCACAGTGCAATAAGCACATAGTAACACCATACTATGTACTGTGAGTCAGTACTGCTGCAATTACTAAGGTATATGCTGGTCATTCAGAGATGTACTGAGAAAACCATTTATAGGGTATGAAAACAACTACTTTAATGAGTCTGAAGACTTAAGAATGTGTATTCTTCGCAAAATAAAATGAATCCTTAGCAAAGGATGCAAGTAGCTTCATACAGACGGGCTGATATGCAGTCAATTAAAGTACAAAGAGCCCAGTCCCTAATATCCCTGCCAAAAATACAGATGAAGTCTTGGCCTATAAGAACCTCATGAAGTTCAACCAGTCCAAGTACAGGTGCTGCACCTGGGTCAGGGCAAACCCAGACCCAAGTCCAGACTGGGAGATGAACCAATTGAGAGCAGCTCTCCAGAGAAAGACTCGGGGATTCTCAGTGGTGAGATGGTCATGTGCACTTGTAGCCCAAAAAGCAAATATATCCTGAGCGGCATCAAAATCAGCATGGCCACCAGATTGAGAGTAGGTTCTGCCCTCATGAGACCCCACCTGCAGTGCTACATCATTTACTATCTGTACATTGTTATAAGCCCTGAAGTTTGGCAGGTTGTTTAATTTTTTCTTAAATCTTGTCTTAGTAGTCTAGTAACAATGCAAAAGAATGAGAAAACTAATTATTTCCTAGATCTGTGGTCTAGGTTGCAGAACATTTTAAAGATGTATGTGTATGGGAATCCCATCTGTAGTTTAAAAAAAAAAGAGTTAAAATGTAATAAAAAATGAACACATTATGATTATTTATAACTTAGAAAAAAATGGATAGGTAATAAAATACACCTTTATTCTCCCTTTTCAATGTCCTGTCATACAGATACGTCTATCTTGTTTCCCCTGGTGCATTTAAAGAGATGACAGTTACAGAAGGGAACCCTTCGTTTATCAAACACAGTTACCAAAGAAGCATTGGCATTTGGACATGGCAAATTGTGGGAAATCTTTTGCAATCGTGTGGCTGCCAGTGGCTACTGTGGTGTAAGTGCAGCAGCCCATCTTTTAGCAGTCAAAAAACTGCAGCTTTTTCTAAGTGCAAAGCAGCCCTAGACAGAAACTAGGAATGCTTCAGAGAAGTTCCTAATTTCTTTATTCCTAGTCACATCAACCCTGAAGACTGAACAAGAGATGAACTGGGTAAAGGAATAATTTCAATCCTCAGCTCTTGTCATTTGGCAGTAGTTGGAGACAGAGTAGAACAATCAACTGCATCTCTGCAGGAGTTCTTCGGATTTGTCTTCGCAAACCGAACCTCGTCTCGCAAAACTATGTGCCTTAAGCATTCCAGAGGGCGAACGAATGGGGGGTAGGTATCAAAAACCGCTCTGGGCGAAGCCAGCGAGAGCGCGGCGCAGCCGGGACCAGCTCAGGCGAATGAATCTCCGCGTTGTGCCCATCCGGCCGCACTCAGGGATCGGCTCCCGGCATCTCCTCTCGCCTCCTCACGCCTTGCCTCCAGGGCAGACGGTCCCCTCCCCAGAGCGTCCCTCCAGTTTGACCACAACCACACCGAAGGCTCCCCTTTCGGGCCAAAGCAGCAGCCGCCTTTCCCGGTTTGAATCGCGAATTCCTCCCCGCCGCCGGCGCGCGGGGCGGCTGGAGCCGATGGCCGGGAGAGCCGCGCGGCTTTTGGGAGCGCCGCGCTCGGGACGCGCTCCGCGCCCGCCCGCACCGGGGGAGCAGCGCTCAGCCCCAGCGACCGCGGCCCCGGCGCCGCCCCCGCAACCCGCGGCGGGACCGGGGTGAGAGCGATGCCGCTGTCTCCCCGCCGGGAGAGGGACGAGGTCGTGCCGCGCTGCCCAGCCCGCCCCGCGCCCCGGGCGCTGTTACCGGCTCGGGAGAGAAGCAGCCCCAGGAGCAGCGCCGGCCCCATGCTGGCGGTCAGTGGCTCCGAGCGCCGGGGCTGCGGCTCGCACACTACGCGCGGCCCCGCCCCGGGGCTGCTGAGCCCGGCCCGCCCCGTCGAGGTGCGGGCAGCGAGCACCGCCCCCGGCCGGACCCAGCCCTCCGCGGGACCGCGGCCCGCCCGGGGCGGCCGCAGCGGGCCGGGCGGCCCGGCGCTCGTCGGGCTGGTGTGCGATGGGACCAGTGACGCGGGTCACCAGCGGCCGCTGTCCTCGGGGCGACCGGGAAGCCGCTGGGCCTGGGGCCGGGCAGTGTACGGCCGCTTCAAAAGGGGCGTTTTGGAACGGGCTGCGCAAGGGGTTTGTTTATTGATTCATAGCCCACTTCAGTACCGAGAGCAGAGCTGTCACTGCGCAACCTCGGGGGCGTATTTGGGTAAAGGACAGTAAGTGTCCAACTTAGGAGAGTCTCCTTCACTCTAGAGGGATTGTTCTTGGAGGATACAGAGGCAGACAGGCTTTCGAGTAGATTCCCCAAGTGATTCTTGGGTCTGTGGATGGGATAACTGAGCTTATGACTTCTTCCTTTTGGCTTTGTTGTGAAGGCTGTTATTTCAGTTTCTTACCTGGTGCTGGCTCTGTCTTCATTGAGCTGCTTGTCTGCAGCCACACAAAAAGTGGCATTTCTGAGAGTCCATATGGCATTTAGGCAGCTGCGCTTCTTTTGAACAGATACTTAGTTTTAATTTGCATCCTAAAATCAAATTAACCAGTGTGCAAAAGTTACAGTCCAACACATGCCCATCAAACATTAGTATATGAAAATAGGGCAAATGTTTTTGTAAGTGAGTTGTTCGCATAAAGACTTACCCCATCTGCCTGAAAACCCCAACAGAAAGGGTAATAACTGTGCAAATACATTAAGTATCCAACATATGTGAATATCTAATTCAATGATGTCCTCCTGTTCTAGTTTTTAAGAAAGACTAGTTCTCCTGCTTACTGCAAGGAACTGCTGCGAGAGAATTCTTCTGTGTGGAATTTACTGTCTATCACCGTATTAAAGCAAGTAGCAGTTCCTGTGATATGCTAGACATTTCATCTCGACAGCCATGACTGCCACAGCCAGTGAAGAGTGGGTTTTACCAAGAAAGTATTTTATTTGCTGTAAGTTCTGAGTTACTTAGTTGTATCTTATTTTGTATAGTATTAATCTTATGAAGATTACAGCATGCTGGTGCTTCTGATGCTTTTTTTCAGGATTTGACCACTACAACCCTTCTTGAGTCAAAACTAGAGTACATTACTAGGAGGTGCAAAAGATGCTGAGTCTTGGCCATTTGTCACTAGTACTATCAGAGAACTACTGGGGGAGGTAGCACAGAGGAGGGCTGAGCAAACACTTCTCTGCCTGGGCTAATATTTACAGCACCACACTCTGCTCTTTACAGGGCTAGAGACAGACAGCAGACATTCACAGCTAATAGTAACACCTGTACACTACAGAAATATTAACCTAATGCAAACAACCCAGCAGAAGTTGATGTCTATATTTATGGAAAACCAAATAAAAACCTCTTCCATTTCCTAGCATGAGTGCTAGTGCCCTAAACAGCTCTGGCTGCTCATTGCCAAAGAAGGTTCAGGGGTTTGACATCCATAGCAGCTACCCATAGTTTTGTGTTTCAGTCCCTGTGATACCTGGTCACTTCTGGCTCAGACAGTTTTATCTTTTTGTTCCTATGAGTAAAGAATTCAAAGCTGCCCTTGTATTTTACCCTCAGTGTGGGTCACAGCAGGAAGGTCAGAGATGTTTACTTGTCTGTCTGATTAAAGACAGTCATACAGCTCCATGGGTAGACTATATCTTTGGTGAGAATAATTGTAAGTCGTTCTACAGGAAAAGGGAACTAAGAAATTTATGATGATTAAAATTCAGGGTGAGCAATGAACATGCTGAACAACACAGCTTCAGTCCAGAGGGACTTCGAGAAATGAAAGAACTGGGTTAACATGTGCCTTATGATGTTTAGGAAGGACCATCGTGTTCTGAAACAGGGCACAGTGACCCCATGCATCTTTCCTGGCTGAGGACTGAGTGGATGAGAAGCAGTCCTGCTGGAAGGACCTGGAAGTTGCCATGGATACCAGTAAGATGTGATTGTGAATAAAACAACCCACACACCACACTGTATTAGGAAGAACATGGCCAGAGACTGAAAGAAGTTATTCATGTCTGCTTAGCAGTGGAATGGCCTGGACTGCTGTGTGCAGTTTCCTGCCCCTGAAGTTCAAGAGGGATATGGAGGAACAAGAAAGGGTCCAGTGGAGGTCTACCAAGATGGTAGCACATGACCTACAAATTGATTATCAGACCTGGGCTTGTTTGAGAGACCATCTACTACCACCCCACAGCTACTTAAAGGTGAGCTGCAAAGGTGATAAACCCAAATGGCAGGTGATACAAGAAATTATGATGGCCATAAATTTCATCTTGGGTTGTTCAGGCTGAGTGCTATTAAAAACTTTTTCACTAAGACGTAGGTGCAGTGCTAGAACAGGTTATCTATAAGAATCTGTACTGTACAGACTAGTACAAAGATGTTGGATCAGAGATTCTCTAAGTCCCTTTTCACCAGCTATTTAAGGCAATGGTTAGTGTGCACATGCTTGAATGACAGAAGTGATTTAAGGCATGAGCAGCTCAGAAGAAAAATTATTCATGAAAGGAAAGCAAAAATACTTTTTCAAGAGAAGAAAGGAGGAGAACCTTATAACAGAGCTGCTCTACTACCTTAAGTCTGAATTTTTTCAGAGGCAAGAACACAGACAAAATAAGTAGTTTTAATAGTGCATTACACTATATTTTGATTCAAAGACATTTAAGTGGTGCACTGTGAGCCCATTTTTCTGATCCAGATATATCCATGATGGATATTGTCTCTCCTTGTCTCAAGTGAATCTTAATTAGCTTGCAGAACAGTGGATCTGGCAGTGGCAAGAGAGACCCAGACCTTAGGGGTTGTAGCTGTTCAGTGTAGTCAGAAAAGTAATGGAACTGTAATGGTTTTGGAAGAGTATTTCCCAATTTAGTTCTCCCACTAAAACTTTGCTGCTTGCTCCTCTGCCTTCCTTCAATTGGAAGAACAAAAGGCAAAGGTCACAAATGGAGATAAGAAACAGGAATGAGATAAGGAACAGTAACAGCAACAGCAACAATATTAATAACAAAAGGTACAAGACAGAGAAATTATTTGCACGGAAAGTCTGACAATACTCCTCGCTCTTCCCAACCATGCTTTCCCCCACCAGATGGAACCCCTTCTCCTCAGAAGTGAGAGTTCCTTTCTCTGCCCCAGCAATGATGTGAGGTGGCATCAAATAATATTAGGGTATTGGCCATGCCCCCCTCACTGATCTGTGCCAAAACCAGAACAGGAACCAAATCAAAGATTTTACTTTCCTGTAGGCTGGGAAAGTACTCAAACAGGCATTAAAGCAATCAAGTTAAAGGACACGAATTAGGTTATTTCCCCTTGTTTCAGCAGCAGTTCTGCAGCTGCTTTCCACAGTGAAATGGACTGGACTTCTATTCATGCAAGCCATGAGACAGAGGACTCAAAGCCACATGAGACCACAAAGATCAATGATCCCACTCTGCTGACACCTTCACTGCCCTTCAGTGCTGTGGAACACAGAACACAAGCCAGTAGGTTCTTGTTTTAATCACTCCTGTAAATTTTCTCCTCTTTGCTTGTGAGAGAGATGGGCACAAGGCAGGGCAGCAGCACAGGGGCTGTTTACTTTACATCTTATCAGCAGCATTATGTGTTTTAGAGACTGCCAGGAAAGACTGAGGTACAAGCTGCTCCTATTGAGTCAACAATATGCCCAGGCAGCCAGGGTGCATCAAGCAAAACATCGCCAGCCAGTCAAGGGAGGTGATTGTCCTGCTTTACTCTGCACTGGTGCAGCCCCACCTTGAGTATTGTGTGCAGATTTGGGCACCACAAAATAAAGACTTTAAGCTACTAGAGACCATCCAAAGGAGGCCACAAGGGTAGAGAAGGGTCTGTGGGGGAAGCTTATGAGGTACAGCTCAGGACACTTTGTTCAGCCAGGGGGAGACTGAAGGGAGACCTCATTGCAGTCTTCAACATTCTTGTGAGGGGAAGCAGAGGGGCAGGTGCCAATCACTTCACTCTCATGACCAGTGACAGGATTTGAGGAAAAGGCATGGAGCTGAGTCATGGAGGTTTAGGTTGGGTATTGGGGAAAGGTTTTTCACCCAAAGAGCAGTTGAGCACTGGAACAGGTTCTGCAGGACAGCGGTCACAGCACCAAGCACCTGAGTTCAAGAAGTGTTTGGACATTGTTCTCAGGCGCATCATGGGATCCTTGGTACATCCTGTGCAGGGCCAGGAGTCGGACTTGATGATCATGATGGGTCTCTTCCAAGTAACCATATGCTATTATTCTATGATTCTGATACATGGCAGGACTTTGCACCACAGCACAGAGTAGCTGAGGCTACCCAGATAGATAAGGCTTTCTTTATTAATTTTGTGCCTGGCAACAGGGTTTCTAGGATTTCTAATTTCTTTGTCTGTCCTCAGGAAAATCCTCTCTTGCCTCCTATTCCTTCTGGTTTTTTTTAAGCATCCAACAAAGTACTTGCCTGAAGAGCTATCAGCAAGAGTGTTAACAGTTGAGGAGGATACCTGAAGGCACTCAGGGAGATTTTAACTGAGGTTTTTTATACAGACATGAAGGTCAGCCAGCATGTAAAGGGACACTCCCTGGGCCATAGGCAATTGTGCTCCAGAAGACGAGGGCTGCTTCGGTCATGTGTTACAAGGCTTGCCTCTGTGGTTTGGCATGCAAGCCAAATGGGTAAAACTACCTTTTTTTTTTTTTTTTCCCCGGTAGCCACATGTAGCACAGACGCTGAATTAATTCTTGACAAACTGTTGCAAACAAGTAGTAGTCTCACAGATTGCCACAAACAACTTACATGTGCTAGATTATTTTTTAATTACAGGCAAATTAAT